TTTTTGGTTTTTCGAGACAGGGTTTCTCTGTGTAGCTTTGCGCCTTTCCTGGAACTCACTTGGTAGCCCAGGCTGGCCTCGAACTCACAGAGATCCGACTGCCTCTGCCTCCCGAGTGCTGGGATTAAAGGCGTGCGCCACCACCGCCCGGCTTCATTCTTGTCTCTTTGCGGACCATTTTACCCCCTGCCCGCTGTACTCCCATGCCTGTGACCCACTCCTGTGACAGCCACACAGCTTCTGCCATTGAGCTTTCCTGCGGACACTGGCCTTTCACTGCGGGAGGGGGGAGGGGGGCATTGGACAGCAGCTCCCCAGGGCAACCGCGCTGAGGCCAAGTAGAGGACTGTGTTCTTAGAAAGCTGGTGGACATGATGTATAGCAAAACAGTTTCTGAATCTTCATTCTTTAAGGTCCCACTAAATAAAATGTTTCTTTCATGTAGTCAATGGCGTTGCCTTTTTTTGAAAAATACACAGGAAAACGTTCCTTGGTGGAAATGTTTGTATAATGACAAAATAGCCATTCTTCAAAAACATTTTTTCAACACCTATTTGACGTGTGTGAGTGTTTTGACTGCATGTATGCCTGTGTACCATGTGCATGCCTGGTGTCTGTGGAGGTCAGAGGAGGACATCAGAGATCCCTTGGAACTGGAGCTATGGATGGTTGTGTGGCACCTTGTGGGTGCTGGGAACTGAACCTGGGTCCTCTGCAAGAGCAACAAGAGCTCCTAAGTGCTAAGCCCTCTTTCTAGCAAGGATCTGTTCTTAATCAGAATTGGAAGTTATAATTCATCCATTCTCAAAACTTCACTGAAGGCTTCTGGTAACAGACTTGGAACTCTGGACCAGGTATCTATGGAATAGTCTTAGAATGGTAAGACCTTCCCAGTGATCACGACAGCTGCACACTACATCCACAGCAACCCTTCCACAGTAACCACGAGGTGCAAATCATCCACAAGTCCATTAATCAACTAATGGAGAAACAAAATGATGTATTCTAAAGCATTATGTTATGTATCACAATATTTAAAACTTTACATTAATTATCATATATAAAATTATAAAACATTCATTTTATAAAAATCCTGTTTAGTAAAATCTTTTTTTCAAGACAGGGTTTCCCTGTGTAGCCTTGGCTGTCCTGGAACTTGCTATGTAGACCAGGCTGGCCTCAAACTCAGAGGTCCATGTGCCTCCTGAATACTTGGATTAAAGGTGTTTACCACCATGCCTGGTGTATTCTTAATTTAAAAAAAGAATTTCTTTTCACTTATGTGTATGTGTACATATGCCACATGTGTACAGGTACCCACAGAAGTCAGAAGAGGGTATTAGATTCTCTGGAGCTGGACTTCAAGGTGGTTGTGAGCTATCTGATGTGGGTGCTAGGAACCAGATTCTGGTCCTCTACAAGAACAGCGCATGCTCTCAACCGCTGAGCCATCTCTCCAGCTCCTTGTTTAGTTAAGTCTTGCTACCAAAGTCCCTAATTTTTATCATTTCAATGAACTTCTATAAAATCAAGAGGATGTACACACACACACACACACACACACACACACACACACACACACACACCACAGTCACAACTATGTAGCCCTGGCTGGTCTGGAACTCACAGAGATTCATCTGTCTTGGCCTGAGTGCTGGGATTAAAGGCATTTTGCCACCATGCCCAGACACAGGATATATGTGTGTTTCAAGACAGGGTTTCTCTGTGTAGCTTTGTGCCTTTCCTGGAACTCACTCTGTAGCCCAGGCTGGCCTCGAACTCACAGAGATCCGCCTGCCTCTGCCTCCTGAGTGCTGGGATTAAAGGTGTGTGCCACCACCGCCCTGCCCCAGGAAATATTTTTTATCAATGGCATTTTTCATATATCCTAAAATATTCCCATACAATTGTAGTGATAAGTAAATAAAGTAAAGTCTTTGTGTCTGGCTCCGAGTGAAATGTTTCAGCGAAGCCTTTGCTATGTTGGGTTAATCAGTAGAGGCTGAGAAACTGCTTTGAGACTGAACCTCAGAGCGTCTGTATTTGGTGCTACGCGAGAGCTTGGTCCTAAGACACTCCTGGCAGACCTGGACTTCTTACTTTCGCTTATGGCTTGCCACAGTCGAAAGGGACAGAGATTTGTGTGGGGTGTCTGCTCGCCGCGAGGCAGCAAGAGCCAGATGACTCTGGTAGGTGGAACCTTTCCCAGCCCCAGTGAACCCTGTACATGTTTGAATAAAGGAACTGGAGTGAGTTAGCTGGGTGTCGGTCTTTCCCAAGAAGGCTGTACCCCTCTGCTCCGTCGGAAAATGAAGGCGTAGCGTCTTGGAGAGCTTCTCTCTCCACTGCGGCACCCAGGACCCACATCAACAGTGTGTGATCCCCCAGGAGGAGGGAACATCTCTAGTATGGCAGAAAGAAACAAGACTCACCAAACCTTCGTGTAGCAGTTGAGTCTGAATCTGTTCAATTTTTGCTGATTGCTCTTTCAGTGTAATTTTTAACTTGGAAAGTCGAACTTCAAGCCTAAAATGCATTTGATAATGATTCACATATAGAGTTTTAAAAAACATTACCACAATTTCTGGACTACCATCTGAAAGAAACATTTCATTATTAACGTTTGAAAAGCATGTGATTTGGAAATTTTCATTTTCTTCCTGCTGTGTTTTGTGGATAATGTACATAATAGTGTAAAATATTCACATTTATTTTTTGCAGGGTCTGGGACCAAACTCTTCACTTGGTACACACAGAGATCATGCCCTGTCCAACTGAACTACATCCGAGACTTAAACCATTAGCATACTTCTGAAAGTTCCCTGGCTTTCCAGGAGGGTGTTCATTATCATACCGGTAGGTTTTCTCTGCTGTACTGTTCTTCTTACCAAACTCATGATACTGTGTGCTGCTCTACTTTGTACCTTTGTAAGATGGCGTGTGTCTTCTCAGAACTCTGCACTGTCTCTGAGAGTTGATCCTGTGGTCCTTGTAACTAAAGCGAGCAATGAAAAGGAAGTTGTTAATACTGGTGCATCTATTGGCATTTCTGTACAAGTTATTTTGAGATTCACAAAGTAAGATATATAGATCTAGGGCTGAGGATGTGACAGAAGAATATTTGCTAAATAGTCAAAGTCTTCTTAAAGGGAGGTAATGTTCTTGGAAAATGGGTCTCTGTTGGCTTTATTATTCCTCCTTACATGGTGGCTGAAGTATTAAAATTGCACAGAAATCTCCATAATAGCATATGAAGGTCAAATCACTGTCCCAAACTAGAAAATCTACTGTCTGTAGCTGGGTTTGAGATCATAAGAATGACCTATTTCTATGGAAAACATGGAAAGCCTTTTTTTTGGATTGGCCTATTATGATGTCATGACTCAGACAAACAGAGCTAAATTAAGAACATTACTGTAACTTGGGAAATAGAAATAGGATGATCAGGAACTCAAGACCAGATTTGGCTATGCATAGAGAACAAAGATTACTCAATCCAACAGTGCCACAACCTCTCCCCGGACACATACATTACATGCATAAATGTAAGGCTCAAATTCTCTGCCTTTTCCATGATACAAGGACACATTGGAAAATGCCTCAAGCATCTTAGACCTCCTCTCTGCTTTGTGCATTTACTATCAAATCTTATTGCAAAGATGATTTTCCCCAATCCTATCTTATAAGATGATGGCATTTTGTTCTTGAGAAACTTGAAGTTGGAGCTCTTTTTGGTCCTTGAATCACTGGAGAATATTTCATTAAGGGTCCAGTGGGTGTAAGCACCCACACTTCGAAAACAGCACAAAAGAACCTTAAAGCAAAGCACAGAAAGCGAGGCAGTGGTGGAGGACACCTTCAATCCCAGCACTTGGGAGGCAGAGGTAGGCAGATCTCTGTGGGTTCAAGGACAGCCAGGGCTACACAGAGAAACCCTGTCTTGAAGAAACAAAACAAAACAAACTAATCCCCTCCAAACACCCAAACAACAAACAACAACAAACCCAAAACATCAAAGGGGCATGACCTTCTCAAGGATGGTTACCCCACACAAATCACTTTAATTGCATGAATAACCAAAATCTTCAAAGAACAAAAGCAGCTAGAAAGACAGGTGTGAATAAAACTGTTACTTTATAAAAGATATACCAAGATACATTACAGATCCAAATATGGATACCCCATTGTAGGGAAAGGGGGCTGGCTAAAGAAATCCACCCTGACCCTGGAGCCTAGAACTAGGGAAAGATGGCTCAGATAAGGCCAGTGAAAGAAACACAATTTGGTTCAAATCAGAGCAATCTCTGCCCCTGGCCAACTGACTTGTAAAACCAACCAATCAGAGAACAGGATAGTAGTTGACTTGATGTGGAAAATGCTACGATTTTTTTAATATCGTTTTGCGTTAGTGTGCAAATAGCTGTAAATAGAGTTGTGATTGAGCCTAGGCATAATATTATAGTTAAAATAAGGCTGTTGTTTGATGTAATTGGGTGGAATCATACTATAAGGAAAATTCCTGCTACCACTATTGTGCTGGAGTGTAGTAGAGCTGATACTGGTGTTGGGCCTTCTATAGCTGATGGTAGCCATGGGTGTAGCCCTAGTACCTTGGCCCTGGGACCCAGGACTAGGGAAAGAAACACAGCCTGGGTTTAGGACCTGAGCCAAAGAAATGAACACTTTATCCCCAAACCCAGAACAAGGGAAACATGCCCTGACTCTGAAACTAGTACCAAAGTAACCCTCTTGGTCCCTAGAATCAGAGTCAGTGAAAGAAATGTGCAGTGTCAAAAAGCCAAGAAAGGCCAGTGAAAAAAACACAGTTTGGCTCTGAAATCAGGGCCATCTCTGTCCCTAGACCACAAAACTGGCCTATCCCTGAGCAGAAAAAAACCTAGCCAATCATGGATTCACTCTAACCCCAGGATATCCTATATAAACCACTCTGCCTGATCAGTTGTGAGCTGTTCTCTCCACCCTGGTAGAGGCAGCTACTCTCCTGGACACCTTCTTCCCAAATAAGTCTTTCTCAAAAGAGTTTTGGGTGTGAAGATCTTCATTCACTGGCATAGAGAAGGTCCTTGCTGAGAAGTCCCAGAGTGGACAGAGCAAGGAGGAGCTGAACAGAAAAACTTTGCTGAGATGTCCCTCAGTGGATAGAGCAAGGGAGAGCTGAAAAAGTAACTTTTCTCATTTCTGCAGGGGTTTCCCCTTTCGCAGAGTGAAGGAAAAGAAGCAACGTCTTAGGCTGGAGAAGCAGAGCTCTGCTAGGAAGCCCCCTTAAGTGGGGGCTGAGCAAAGCTCAGCTGTAGCAGCTCTCCAGGAGAGGAGCAGGATTGCTATATCCTGCGGGGGAAATCATCCCCCATCACACTAGGTATAGCCTGACTCTCCCAAATAGTCAGGATACCCTTCCCTGCTGAAGTAGTTCCAGGCCTGACTTTCCCAGTCAGGATACCCTTTCCTGTTGAAGCAGTTCCAGGCCTGACTCTCCTGAGCAGTCAGAAAAATTTCCCTTTCAGGGCTGAGCTGTCTCTTTTGCAGCTCCAGCCATCAGAGCTGTCCTAAGCTGCTCAAGCTTCTGCCTGACTCCCCAAGTAGTCAGGATACCTTTCCCAGAGTTGTAAAACTCACATTTTGGTGCCAAAACCCTGGACCAAATCCACAGAGTTGCAACAAATTTACTCACACCCATGTTCTAACATAAAACTCTAAATGATTACCCAGGTGGTGGCCGTTGGCTAAAACATCAGAGACCCTTTAGTCCTTCACTCGGGAAACATATGGTGAGTACCATTAGATGCCAAGATTTATAATTTGCAAACTTAGCTATAAATGTCTTAATTTAACTTTAAAATGAGGTACCATTTTTGTTCTAAGTAATTCAAGAATGGATGGCATAACATTAGGTCAACAATAGACTAGATACACAGTGTCCATAGTGCTCCATAGATGACACTGTCAGATGATGAGTGCATGTCTCAAGTTTGTGTAATTGCATGCTTTCATGTTTTCACAGTGATGAATTGGCAAGAAACACATTTTTCTGATCAATTTCTGTTAGTCACATGTATTTATCTGAAAACATACAAAATTGAAGTGATCCAACTAATAACAAACCTTCAGAAATACAAAATTTTACTCACAACTAATTTACCTGTCTGAGATCATTTTCTATGGCCTTTACATCTGTAATCACTGTCCTGATTTCAGGGTGTTGAGTCCATTCCACATTTTCACCATATTGCTCCTCTTTCCTGCTTAACTGCACCTTTTGTTGTTGAAACACAGACTCAGCATTTTCTTGCTTCTCATCTTGTTTTAAGGGTAATCTGAAGTATTAAGACATATTACAACTCATTTTTAGGGAAAATGTTCATTGTGGGATGTGATTTCATTGCACTAACAGATTGACTTCTTGATTTATTACCCTTCCAAACAACTGAGTAAATTGACTTGAAATAAAATTTCATCACCATAAAATGTGCAGATGTGCCTCAAAATGATTGGCATTGCAAAGGAGAACTTCCAGATGTTCATACAGCAGGATCTGTCCATAGCTATAACCCAAGACCTGAAGAAGGAATCTAGTATCTGTTAGCTCTCTGTTTGCTCTTAACACTTCAAGCATATCTTAATATTGTTTATTACATAAGAAGCTTGATGATCTTTTGTGAACAACACATGATCTGATCATTCAACAGAAATGAGTAGTTCTTTAACATAGAAATATGCCTTAATTTTATCAATGCATGAAAGAGACATATTGAATAGGTTAATCAGTCATCTCCATTTTCTTTTTATTTCATTTGTGTTAACCAAAGTACAGATGGAGGTCTAGCTTATCAGCCTCTACTGGGCATGTCAGTCATGATTACCTTTGTTGGATCCCTAGCAATGTAAATGAGTAATTAATTCAAGATTACAATTGTATAAGTTTAAAAATATTTGAGTTGAGAGATAATGACCCTTTCATACTCTTTGGATGGAGCAATCAATGAATGTTAAGCTTTCTCTAGAATAATTAAGATGTATTAATCTAAAGCCTTTAAAAATATTCCTATATTTTGAACAAGTAATTGTATACAGATGGTTTTTTCCAAAATATTTAGAAATTCAGAAAAAAAGCTGGGTGGTGGTGGCACACACCTTTAATCCTAGCACTGGGAGGCAGAGGCAGGTGGATCTCTGTGAGTTCAAGGCCAGCCTGGGCTACAGAGTGAGTTCCAGGAAAGGCACAAAGCTACACAGAGAAACCCTGTCTCCGGAAAAAAAAATTCAGAAAACAAAGTCCAAATGGTATTTCTTGCAGCATCAACTGTAACAGAAAAATTTGAGAATGATCATAAATTCTTATTCCTAATTGAATAATAGAACTCAGCATAACCATTTGAATTCTAGTTTTGAAGATTATGAATTTACTTATTTAAAATGCTCATACCTAAATGAGGTGGTTACACTTACTTTCTCCAATAATTCCATACTCCACAGGACTGAAAATGTTCTTCCCTCTAGGGCACTAGACCAGAAATTATGAAAACCCCACTGCAGATCTATAATACAATATGATGGTTCAAGTGTTTCTTCCAAACTAAGATGTCACGGGGCTGGAGAAAGGGCTCAATGGTGAAAAGCCCTGGCTGCTCTTGCACAGGACCTGGGTTGGATTACTAGCACCCATATATATGGTGGCTCACAATCACCTGTCACTCTAGTTCCAGGCAATCTGGTGCCCTCTTCTGGCCTCTGAGGGCACTGTATGCATGTGGTATACAGACACACATAAATATAAAATGAAAATAAAAAAATTAAAAAAAAACTAAGATATCATGCCTCAAGGCGCAGAGTTCTTCCCCTTCCACTCCTTTATGCTGTAGCCAGGATTTTATTTTCTTCATTTCTGTTTGTTCTCTCTGTGCTCCACTGGCCTCATTTTCCATGTTTTCAAGTTTCCCTGTGAATAGTTCTTCGTGACTATTTTTAAGCTCCAACAGTCTTTCATATGAATGAATCATGTCCCAGAGTTCCAACGGGCTACTAGAATCTGTATGAGAGAGGATAGCATGGGAATAAGTTATGCACGAGCATATTTTGTACACAGGGACTATGTTTTCACAGTCAATAACTTATACGCTGAACAATAAAGCACTATGTGCCTATGATGAGGAATGTAGTGTTAAATTCTGCAGATAAAACAAATGAGACCTTGCATGATGGCTCTTTTTGGTTGTCAACTTGACTACATCTGGGATTAACTAAAACCCAAATGGCTAGGCACACCTGTAAAGTTTTTTTTTTCTTAATTACATAATTTGAAGTGGGAAGACTCATTCCTAATCCAGATACAGAAGTGGGAAGGTCCACCTTTAATCCAGATCTTTTGAGGTGGGAAGATCCACCTTTAATCTGGACCATACCTTCCGCTGGCAGGTTATATAAAGAACATCTAAGAAGGAAGCTCTTTCTCTTTGCCTGCTTGCTCTCTAGCAAGTCCATTCTTTCATTGGCATTTGAGCCTGCTTCTTCTTCAGGATTTCAGCTGAGGAACAGCTGAGACATCCAGCCTCATGGACTGAACAACTACTGGACTCTTGGACCTTCTATTGGTAGACAGCCATTGTTGGACTAGCTGGACCACAGTCTATAAGCAACTCTAATAAATCATCTTTATTTAAATATATTAATTCTATAAGTTCTATTACTCTAAAGAACCTTGACTAATACACCTTGCTTTTGTTTAGGTTTAAATCTAGAGGAGAAAGGATACAAAATGAGATTTATATATTCAGATAAATGAGCATTATACATTCAGATAAACACTGTAAGAGACCGTCCTGTGATTGCCCACGAGAATCAGTGATCTAAAATGGGCTCAAGGCAGACTGTTCCAAGGAGAAAAAAGCTGCACTGAGAAATGGAGGATGAGCTGGACTCAGAGACACACAAAAGGTGAAGAGCTCTAGCTGGTCCATTCATTTATGGAGACTCCATTGTAATCAACTTCCTTTTAAGATGTAAGAGGTACTGATTTCACTTCAACACAAAAGAACAAGAAAATCAAAACAGCCAAAATATTTTCACTGACGATTATTAAGATAATAGGTTATGAAGATAATGATCTATGATTGACAGAAAACAGATGAAAAGGTCTCTCAGTGTTGTATCTTCCTGTAAAGAGAGGGTCCAGGTCGGAAAACACGGAACTGATGTGGAGCCTTCTGGACTCTATGGTGAGGAAGGTGAATTTGGTAAGATGTGTGTAGATGTAACCAACCGTCTTATTAAATAAGAAACACAGAAACAATGTAAAAGAGAAAGCCAAGAAGTCAGAGCTC